AAACTATATCATGGACTTTTGAGGAGGCTTTGCCATTGCCTTCCCTGGTGTCCGACGGAGGTTCTAAAAGCTCTGTGTCAGACCTGGTTTGCAAGGCTGGCAATGGCCTTGGGTGTCTCTAGGTGATCTTTTCAGTAGCAAGCTGTGAACTCAGTTAACTCAGGCGCTACCATTTTGGAGGAGTTCCAGTGGAATGTTTTGTTTCTTACTACTGGGACTGACAGGCGACCATTTGCAGCCTCGCTGTCCGTGCCCCTGGAGTCCGGCTGCATCGGGTGGAGTTCTTCACAGAGCTGTCCCTAGGAGCGCCTTTCCTTGGAGTCTTCATTCAAAAGGTGAGATTGAAGAAGAATGCAGGCAGTTTTCCTCTTAGTGGTGGAAGTACATGAAGCTATAAATGGAATTTGTAGCTGCTTGATAAAACAATCACTCCAAAAGTAAAAAAAAATAAAAATTAAAAGGCTGGTTTTCTTAGCCAGCTTTGCAGAAAAAAAAAGAACTTTTAAACATAATTAAAAAAAAAATTCTGAATATTAAAAAAAATTGTGAATATTCCAAATATTTTAATTGTCATGGTTTTATCAGTAGCTGGAGTTGTTTTAAAAAAAAATTCTGAATATTAAAAGAAATTGTGAATATTCTAAATATTTTAATTGTCATGGTTTTATCACTCCAAGCCAGTAGCTGGAGTTGTGCAGCGTGTTTGCATATTTTCCAAATACGAGAAGCCATTTTGGAATATTGGAAAAGGAATAATGAAATGTTGTATGGATGCTATTATTCTAAAAAGTTTAGCTTACCTTCTGGTACTTTGCTGGATGTTGCACCTAGTTGAAGCAAGGTTTGTGTAAATGTATGTTTATCACACCTCAGTGTGAAAATAATGTGTTACTGAACAATTTTTTAGCGTTTAAAAAAATTTTTTTATTATTAGAGAGGGCTAAAGGAGGGCTGTTATATTCAGTATAACATTATGCATGTTTCAAAACCCTTATGTGCACACTTTTCTGTTAGGTAAAATTGAAGACAAGAGCTGTGTTCAGACCTAGTGAAGCCCCAGAGGTATCCAACAGCAAAAATTAGGCATTTAGGAGGAAACCATAAGGAGTTCTTACTGTTTTCTCTGGATTCAAATCTGTTGATCACTGTTGGGGAATTAATTCACCTTGGAACAAAGTTTGGTTGTTTTTTTTCTTTATGGCTGGTCTTCAGCAGATGGTTTTGAGTTGAACTGTGGGCAGAGGTCAGAATGGGCTGGAATGTCCTTTTGGGCTTTATTTCTGAAGCTGTTTCTCCAGAAGTGCTCTGTCAGCTCTGGAGGGGTCTCTGCTGAGCCGTGGTGTGATTTGAAACTGGTTGAAAGAGCTGATGCAGGAAATGGGGTGCTGTGCAGCAATGGGAACCCCACTGGAAGGGTTAACTGCATCTTGAGGTCTGTCCCTGTTTGCAGGCGTGGTATGAAGGGATTGTGGCTTTGCTTAAATACTGTTTTCTGTCCCTTTTCAGTAGATTGTGCTTTTGTATGTGCCAAGGGAGCTTGCCAGCATCCAAAGTGAGGCAGTTTCTAAGAATCATTTCTCTCTTATTTTCATGCATATCTCAGAGTCAATATATTATACATATATATTTTTATATGTATATATATATGGATGTGTATATATATATAAAGTGTCAGTCATATTTGCTGCCTTTAATTTTGGGGTTGTTTTGAACATGTCTGTAAGCAGTGGGGAAGAAGAATACTGTTCTAGAATGCTAAAAACACTTAGGTCACTGGACAAAACAAATGATGCAAACATTTATATCAGTTAGAAAACAGTTACATAAAATGGTACGTGATGGTGAAGCATCGTGGGGCAGGCCATGGGTAGGAAACAACCACATCTGTTGGCAGAATCAGTGGCAGCTCTACAAAGAGAAGAAACCCTGGCTTTTTACTTCTTTGCAGTTGAGACACATTTTTAAGGCAAAACAGCAGAGTGTAATGTTGTAATAGATAACTGTCAGCAAATAGCAATAAGGGGACATGGGGAACTGTATTTAAAATAAAAAAAAATTTGAAATCTTCTAGTAGCACCTCATGGAATTTCTATTATTGTCTATTATTTTAATGAGTTGAACAATATCCTATTTTTAGTGGAAGGTCAACTTGAACTGTATTTGAACAAGGTCTCTGGTTCTGAACACAAATAGGAACACTTTAAATGTGATAACAAAAGGGAGGCTTGGAGCCAGAGCTCCTTAACCTATCATTAGGGGCTCAGATAGCCATCCGTGTAAGAACTGCGTGCTGCTTAAATAGAGAGGAGTCCTTGTTCTGAGCTCAGACTGCACACAGTGAAAATAGCACTGAGACTTATGTGGAAGGATTTTGGGGTTTTATTTAAGAATTTAAAATAAGTCTAAAAAATAGTAATGATTTTTTTAAAAAATAAAATGTGCCAGCTGATGTCATACCACTTTATTTTGTGTGTTGTTTTTGTGGTTTTTTTAGTAAATGCTTTTTCAGTTTCTTAAATATTAGAACTCTACTTTTCAGACCAAAAACTCAAGTACCTGCAAAAATGTACACGGAAGAAATGTTACAAGCATTAGATTATTAAAGTATTTCTGGCCTAGGCAGAATTATTTTAATTTTGCTGTCACCCACAATGGTGCATATCCAGTGGAACTCCACTGTTGACCGAAATTATTTTGTTTACTGGTAGTGAGATACTGTCAGGTTCCCAAGTTTCCATGTTATACTTCACTGGGAAGATGTTTCTTGCAGTGGCTGTAGGTTTAGGGCAGTAACACATTTTTTGGATAGCTGTTTGTTGAGAAACAGTCCAGTGCCAGTGAAAAGCCAAAGGCTGTGGAGCTGCTCAGGCTGTAGGATTCACACTGCTGCTGGAACATCTCCTGGGATTTGTTGGTGTTGCAGCTGGCTGAAGCGTGTGCATTCACCAAAGGAAGGATTCTGATGGCATGTTTAAGGGAGATGATTTCTGACCTTCCTAGCAGTAAGCAATACTAGTAATTGCTTGTTAGCAATACTAGTAATTACTATGTTAGGGTAACCTGAACATAGGAGTAAGGAATAGAGGTGATGTTCTATAGATTTATAATGTAAATTGTTTCTGAAAATGTTTTACTCTCCTCAGCCTGCTTTTTGGCCTCAATTAAAGAAAGTGTGGGCAAGGTGCTTCAGTGTTGTTATGGTTTTATTGCAGTGCTCTGCCATTGGCATTCTCTCTGATCTTGAGTAAAAAATTTTTCCTCTGTGATTCTGTTTCCTTTTGTGATACTGGAACACAACCTCTACTTGAAACAGTGCTTTGATGGACAGCACTGTAGGAAAAGGAAACATGATTACTAAACAAGGAAAAGACAGCTTGTTCTAAATGTTATAAACCTGGGAAAAATCTTAAATTTTCATCTCACTAGATATAAGAAAGTTTTCATGAGACAAGTTCATTGAGGTGTGATGCTTTATCCCACCTCAAAAGTTGTTTTTATTTTTTTTTTCGTAAACCTTTATTAAATCTTTTAATGCCACTAGGTCAGTCACGAACCATTGCTTGCCATGGGGATTCTCCAATATCCACAAAGAACTAGGATTATGCTGTTTTCTTGGTAGATTGGACGTAAGGTTTAATGTATCACATTATTTATGCTGAGAACTGTGTTCAGCAACTTGGTGGAAACCTTATGTTCTTGTGAATTTTAACTGCCCTTAAAATGTGGGTTGAGAAAGTGCTCTAGGGTGATAGTAAACAGGCAGAATTGAAAGGAAATGCAAAAAAAAGTGCTCAGTTTTTCTGGTTTTAATTTTTGGGGCTGAGATTAAAAAAATCTTCCAGTTACTTCATTGCCAACCTACACCGAAATGCAAGGCTTGTTTAAATAAAGTGGCTCTCAGTGAATAAATGTTATTAGTGGGTATGAATCTTGCCACCTTCTCCAGCTCTCCTTTTGGTGTCTGTGCATTAATAGACATGTTTCTTGTTGCTAGTGGTAAGAAATGATGAAATCTGAGGTGGTTACAGAGTAGCCTGACAGCTTTGTCTGGACATTTAAATAATTTAGCAGGTGCTCTATAGACTTTACCTGGTGTTAAACGGGCCAGGTCCTTTCCAGGTTTCGGAGATACTGCTCCATTCCACAGCATGGTCTGGCCTACAGGGTACTAGAGGTCTCTCTGCAGTACAAGAGCATGGACTTCTCTTTGCCTGAACTAGAAGGTTTTAGCATCCTGAATGTCTTATTTTGGGTGTCAGCTAGAGGATTAAAGGAAAATGCAGTAATTGTTTTTTTGTGCCTTCTGTGAAGTCTGATTTGCACTTGCTGTACTGACTGTAGCAAAAAGGCTAACAAATTTTATTCCCAGAGTGCTGTTGGTAACAATTAATTAAGGAAATACTGAAATTAAGACTGAATAGTAAAAAAAATTATATTATATATTCTCAGCAATGTTTAATATATTGGAAATCCTCAGGTGCCCTGGCCATCTATATCTTGGTAAAAAATACAAATCCTGACTACTTTGTTTTAACTTTTCTTCATTTTTTACAAGGCAATAGGCCTTTGCATTTTCTGAAACTGCTAGGATAATACATTGTGTGTCATTGTAGGATACCATACAATAGAAATAAAACAACAGAGAAAACAAATTTGGTGCCAAGTTCCCGGGTGAGAGCTTCATGAATCCCTTTGCTGTCCAGTTCAGGAGTCTGAGTCATTGCCTCCAGACTGAAGTTGGCATACAGTCAGAATGCATGTAGGTGCTGTGCTGGAAATTCCAAGAATAATCACTGGAAGTGTAAGTAATTTCATGCTTCGTGTCATCTAATTGTTCAAAACCTTTTCAACTCTAAACTTTCTTGCCACGCTTACGCTCTCCTGTGTAGCTTTAAGGATGCCCATCCCCCTGCCAGCCCCGCAGCAGCCGCTGTGTCCTGTCAGTCATCCTGAAATACACTGGGAGCTTGTCAGGCAGTCCCTTGCAGATGCCTCAGGAGCCCCAGAGTGAGCCAGGGCAGTTGCACTGAACTTCCTAGCACAAGGAAATTACATAGACAGTTGCTTTAGTGCTGCATATGGACCATATGTTTTCTAGCATAGGTGAGTGATGCACTGTTGGCTTTCTAACAATCTAGCAGGAAATGGATTCTTAAGTAAAGGATTTCTAATTTCTGCAGAATGTCTTTGGCTCTGCTTTCTGACACTTATTAGTTTATGTCTGTATACAGTGTACTTATAGATTCTAAAAAAAAGCTGCAGGTGCTGTGTTCACATTGCATTGCAGATGGATATAGATTGTGGCTGTTTTTCCAGTGTCTTTTTCTTATTACACCAAAAGACTCAATAGTTTTGACATCTGATGAAAAGACAAAATTTTCATTATCTTGAAGTTGGTAGCATTTGGTAGGAGTGTGCAGGTGGTTGGTTTTCTGTCTGGTCTGGGACACATCTGTATCTTGTAACACATGCTTAACATCCTAAGTGTTGTAAGAGCTGCTGGTGTGCAGGGCTGAGATTGCCTCCTGTAAAGGTTAATCTGAGTGTGAGGTTATACAGCCTTCTACCAAAATATCTTGCAGTTAGGGCCCCTGCTGTACTTAGGGGGATGTTGTAATGGAGTAGATAAATGCATTAAAAAAACCCCAAAAAAACCAAAAGGAAGGTGGAATGTTGATTTTCATTTTTTTTCCTGAGGCAAACATCAGATTTTTTCATCTTAATGAATACGTAGATAAATGCATTAAAAAAACCCCAAAAAAACAAAAGGAAGGTGGAATGTTGATTTTCATTTTTTTCCTGATGCAAACATCAGATTTTGTCATCTTAATGAATATGATCTAGAGGACAAAGGTTCACGTAGTAAGTGGAAATGCCAGAGAAAATCCCAGGATGTTCTTTACTGGCTGTTTATTTTTCTTTATATCACCTCTTATCCTTGCCTTAGTTAAAAAGAAATAATTAAAGAACCCAATTTAAATATTGATTAGCCTGTATGGTGTGTAACAGTAAGGAGAGCCTGGTAAGCTTAAAACATGTAGTGAGATTACCAGAATAATTTAAGATCTTGTGGTTTTCGCTGCATTGGCTTGAAAAACTGTTTCTATCTTTTTAGAAACAAAAGGAAGTTTCATGAAGCATTAGAATTGTACTTAAAAATATTGCTGGAATCAGCAAGTGAGCCCTTAAGTGAGTTATTTATATCTTAGAATATAACTGAAATTTTCAGAGACAATAGTTTTTGCAATTGACTTTCAGCTGATGTACTCGTTATGGGCCCGACTCAAGGCTAAAAGCTATTATTGGCTTAACTGACTTTTGAACTCGGGGCTCAAGCAAAGAATAAAAATGCTGATGTTAGACAGTATCCTAAGGGTAAGAAACAAATACACAAGCAAAACCCACAGAACAATCCAGAATAGGGAAAGCCATGACACATGGATTCACATTTTTTCTGACCTGCAAAAATGGGGTTAGATTTGTAATACTTTCCAAGTCTGAGAGTGCTCTGTGGATTCTGGAGCACAGTAGTCCTTTAGTAACAGGAATGGACTTTAATTACGGCTACATATTTATCTGCCAAAATTTAGAAAAGACCTGATGATTGTACATAGCAGAGGAGATTGTGCTGTGAGAATGGAGAGCAAGCAGCAAAAAGGTTTCATTTCTCCATTTTGAGGGAAGCAGGTGCTGACCCCCTGCTGCCAAGGAGTTGTGGGGAAGCCCCTGCAAGGCTTAAAGCATGAGTGTATCTGCAGAAGAATAACCCGAGTCAGCTCGTGGTTTCTTTAGGGCTCAACAGCAGCACGAGGTGCCGTCCCCATCCAGTTTACCTGTCCCCTGGTAGCTGATGTGTGTCTGACCAGACACAAGTGCACAGCACAGTCCATACCGTCTGTTTGCAGCTGTGACGGATTTCAAGAAGCGCCCGTATTTTGGGAGACTTGTGAAAATATCGAAGATAAGGGTTGGTAACCAGCACCATCATAAATATTTATTATTTTTCCTAATGTGGATAAAAAGCAGATTCATTGAAATATTGGCCAAAGATGTAGAAAACCAGTGAATTTTAGGTGGCAGAAAAGGATCTGTCTTTTCCAGGGTGTGTAATGGTGTGGTTTGATGCAATCCCAGGGAAGCTGGAGGACAGTATCTTGTTGAATTAAAAGGCCTTTTGAATAAGGGGTGGGTGAGGGCTCCTCATTCCTTTCTAAAAGAAAACATTCCACATAACACAGTTCCTATTTTAACTACAAAAGCTAACCTTTTTGCTATGAAACTACATTTACCACAGTATTAAAATGTTAATACAGCATTACTCAGTACAACTTAATGTGAATAGTAAATATCTGTGTGGGAATGACAGGCGCCAGTGGCCTTCAGAGCGAATTGTTGGTGTTGGACAGAAAGATCCGCCGGCAGTTCCAGTTTTGGGACGCTCAAATTTTGTTTCCTTGGTGTTTGTTGAAAGTATCTAAATGTTAAATGTGTAAAATACAGGCAGTTAGTTTGCTTTGACATTCCTAGAGTTCTCTTTCCATTCATATCTGCGGAAGGAAAAGTGTTTTGTTTTTTTTCTGGTCAGTCTGATCTCAGGTTTCTTTTTTCTTTGTCTTTTGGCTCAGAATTAAAACTGAAAAATCATTCATTCCATATGCTATTGCCTGGCTGGATGCAGCTGAATTTGTGGGAGCTTAGCTCTGCTGCTAGTATAGTTGTAATTAAAGAAAAGCTTGGCACTTGTGTAACCTTTAATAAGAATGGCAAACCCCTAAATTGCTTTGTACTTTAATTCTTTAATTATTGCTCATATTATCTTTGCTTGTAAGTAAAATGTGGATAACTCTCCAGATCCATTTCTACACCACTTGCTACAGGAACCCTACACCTACTGTGTTTTATTAAATCAGTGCTAGGTTCACTGGAAGGTGACAATATATCTCTTCAGCCTGCACAATTGCAGTACCTTATTACTTCATTATACAGCAGCAGTGGTTGTAATAAGTCTTGCTTAAAAAGGACAGATATCCATTATTTGTGTATTTGAAGTCTGTATTGGCTGAAAAGGCTTTGCCAAGCTGTGTTTTAGAAGAAGTTAAGTTACTGCAAAATTTAAAGTGTCTTTTATTTTGGGACAATAATTGTTTGCAATCCAGCTAAAGCAGTTATAACTCTTTGTTGACACACACACATTTCAGGCTAATGGCCTGAGCCATGGCCCAATGAACTTGGTGAAAACTATTAATTTACATCAGTAGATTCTGCATCAAGTTCCTAATGAATGATTTATTCACTTTAAAGACCTTACTTAGCTTTACTTCCACCTTATTGACTTCAGTAATAGGCTTTCTCAACTTAATCTGTCTTGACACTTAAAAAAATATTTGTTATTGCAGGGTATACAATAACAAAATGTTTCCCTTTTTCTGCTGTTAATTTCCAGAATTTTTAAGGAATGTTGTATATGCTTTTCGTTCTTAAGGTGCTTATTATAGAACCCCTGTAATTTGGCACGTGGAATAAGATTCAGGTATTGTGCACATAGCATTAATGTTTTTGTTTTGTGATAAATTCAGTAATGGAATGTTAAGTTTTTGCTTTAAAGATCCTTTCTGGACTAGTAGAGGACTTTTATTTAATAGTATTTTGATTCAATTATCCTTGTATTTTTTTGCTTTAAAGATCCTTTTTGGACTAGTAGAGGACTTTTATTTAATGGTATTTTGATTCAATTATCCTTGTATTTTTTAACATGTGGTCAATGTAGAAGTCTCTGAATGAACATAAGGAGTTATATGTACTTTAAGTCTATGATTTTACAGTTCATATAAGTATCAGCGTATTTTTTTAATGATTTAGAAATGGGAAATTGGAGAAGTTAATTGTATTTTTTGAGATCAGACTCTGTTAGGAAACAAGTTTATACTCACATAGGCTGGGCTTTGACAGAAGGCAGTGAGGCTTGGAGTCATGGTTAATATTGGCTCATTGCACTTCTCTTGTTTTGTACCCAGGTGAAATGTCAACAAAAGTGCCAAACATTAAACTGAAAATTGATCCTCGGAATCTGCAGATCCAGACATTTACAGTGGAGAAATTACTGGAACCACTGATAATTCAGGTATTTTAGAGTTGCAGAAAGTAAGCTGAATAACCACAGAGGGAAGGGAATAAGGCTGAAGAACTTTTGACTAAAGACATTATTCTGAAAGTCACACCCACAGCTCTTCTGCACTTGCACTTTACTCTGGCTCAGGAGCTTTCCAGGGCTCTGCTTTCCAGATTTGGTCATTCATTTGGTCACTTCCAACTTTGCCATTTGTCACAGTAAATGCTGCATGTTCTAGCTGGTCTCTTGCACAGTGTTGTCTAGGAGATGCTTAAATGTAGAATTCACTGCAAATGGATTTCCAGTGCATGAAATAAGTAATTCTTTAAAAAGAAAGTTTCATTTTCCCCATTTGAAGCTTTGCCTTCTCCAAATTTTTTTTGGTCTTCCCTTACTCTTTTTTCCTGTCTGGAAGGTTACTTTCCTCAGAAAGCAGCCTTTTCTTTTCTATCATGACTTCATTTCCAGCTACTATTAACTGAGCTGCCTCTGTCTCATTTTGTCTGCCTTCCTTTATATATTTTTGCCTGGATGTGATTGATGGTTTAAAAACCTTCAGTTAACAGGCCAGTGGTTTGTGGAAGTTGTCAAGGATATGTGGATGGGTTATAAAATCAGTTTCAAAGTAGTAAGAATAGATGTCTTGATAGACTGAATAAAAAAACCTCTTATACACCGGTAGGTCAGACTGTGCTGAGGCAGGTGCAGCACTGTGGGTCTTTTTAGAGGAGGTAAAGAAAAGTAAATTTTGGGTTGAGTTTTGCAGGATCAAAGAAATCTGACAAAACAAAGAAAGTGCAGTTCCAGAATAAAACAAAGAAACCATCTAAGTTTTGTGGTTTTTTTCCCCTTCCAGCTCTTCTCAACCATTGAAAAGCTTGTTCAAATTGGAAATGCTTTGGTTCTAAGACAATATTTTGACTGTTTTTTTCCCTCTTTTAAGCTTAATGCTTTGCTTGTTTCACACCTATGGAAGGAAAACTTATGTTTTGTGTGGATCCTTCAAAAGAAGATGTTGAAAATGCAAAAATAGAGATTAAAGCTCATACTCAGTGAAGGGTAATTGGAAGGCTGGAAAGGTAATAAATAAAAATTAATCTGTGATTAGAAAGAGAATCAGACCAGTCACAGATAAAAATGATGTTCTTGCCAGATTCACTTTAGCAACTGCTGCTTGGAACACAGTTTAACTTTATTTTGAGATTTCTGTTGTAATTTATTTATTTAATAGTCTTGTAATGCTGTGGCAGGAAAGAAACAATGGAAGTGCTTGAGGTCCTCTGCAGTCTGTCCTTGCCAGTTATGTTAAGTGTTAGGGCAGTCATTAGATTAACAGCATCAATATAGCAAAAATCAAGGCAGAACCAGCCTGGGCAGTAACTGGGAAGTAGTTGTGGAAATAGCTGCAGATCACTTGCTGAATTGACCCTCTTCCCTGCAATTGGCAGTGGTGATTACTATGAAACTCTGAAAACAGTACAGCAGCTGTTTTGTGCAAAACCCTGTCTGAGTTGGCAATGTCTCCATCCTTGGAATAAAACACTGACCCTGAATTTCCTGGGGTGTTTCCCTCTGTCTGTGGCCTTTATTTTATTCCAGGTGTTTTGAGGATGTTAGTTGTGAAAGGAAGGCTTCTAGTTCTCAATCAGTGCATCTGGCACATCAAAAAAGGTGGTTTGGTCAAAGTTAGCATGGTTCAGCTGACACAATGTGTAGAAAATTCCCTGCCTTTTGGAGTCCCTTGGATCACTGTTGAAAAATGGGCAGGTGGAAAGGCTTGTATTCCCAGCTGTCATCCACACCACAGACGTTTGCTCACAGGGAAAGCACACACTGTTGGTTTTAGTTCTACATATGGTGAGTTTCCCTTCTACTCACTGGGCGGGATTAGCTAGTGTGTACTTGTATATAATCCAAATACTTTGGATTTGAGACAGTGGACAGGGGTTCTGCTGTTGCCATTAGATCAGAGTTCATGTCTTGTTTTTCCTAAATGTCTAGGGATTGACATCGAGTTACACTGAACTATACTGTTAACAAAAAAGAATGTTTTATGATTGATGCTCAAAAATATTTTTAATATTAAAATAAAGATGAACCAAATATTATGATACTCAAGGTATCAAGACATTGCTTCCTGAACTACTGTAGTATTAAGAGGTTGTCTCAAAGTGCTGCCAGTAACTAATATAGCATTGGAAGAACTGCTTGAGTTTCCTAGAAATTTAGTATTTGACATAACCATGACCCCACAAGAAGCTCCATCCCTTAAGGCTAATAACTAATGGCAATAACAGGCAACAATGGCATGATTCAGCTTTGTAAATGGCCGTGGCCTGGAAAGTGGCTTAGAAACTGCCTGTGCTGTTAGCATGACTGTGTTGCTCCTACCAGAGCTAGGCTGGGGATCTGCTGTGCAGGGTAACAATGGCACACTGTATTAGGCTGTGGTTCAGTTCTTTCTGGGTAGGATTGTGTGAAGTTTTTACATTCCTCATTGGGGTTCTGTGTTAGAGAATTCAGAGTAGTTTTTCTGTTTTCCATAATCTCTATGAGCAAAGAGCTATCTAACAAATTTTGACTTGTGTTTGAGATCAGCTGCCACCTCAAATGTTTCCTGAGGGTGATGCTGAAGATGTAAAGTCCTACAGTCAAGAGTTTTCACCTGCCAGAATCATAATTTTTTTATTATTTTTCATTTGTTTTATTTCCTTTCCTCCTCAACATATCAATGAACAGTATATGTAGTGATATTTTACATAAAAAATGCAGTAAAAATCTGCAAAGTAGAACATATTATTTTCTAGTGAAATAGTGATTAAATACTTAAAATTTAAAAAAACCCCTTCTATTTGATAGATTATTTTGTGCCGCTTCTAATTTTTGATGGTGTTTTATTATGTCCTTCATATTGGAAGTATTAGCCTGTAATCTGTAACTCACTCTTAAAAATATGGACATTGAAACTGTCTTAAATGTTCTAAAACTGACATTGGAGGGTTTGTAAAAATAAAAGATAAAGATTTTTATTCCCAGTGCATTCTCTACCAGCTGGCTGATTTATGTGCAATAAATAATTCCATGTTCTTCTTTGAGCCACAGTCAGAAAAATACCCAAGCCTTCTTTAACAATCTGAACCAGAGTTATTTATGCTCTCTCCCTTGTGATTTGACTTGTGTTTGAGATCAGCTGCCACCTCAAATGTTTCCTGAGGGTGATGCTGAAGATGTAAAGTCCTACAGTCAAGAGTTTTCACCTGCCAGAATCATAATTTTTTTATTATTTTTCATTTGTTTTATTTCCTTTCCTCCTCAACATATCAATGAACAGTATATGGAGTGATATTTTACATAAAAAATGCAGTAAAAATCTGCAAAGTAGAACATATTATTTTCTAGTGAAATAGTGATTAAATACTTAAAATTAAAAAAAAAAACCCTTCTATTTGATATATTATTTTGTGCCGCTTCTAATTTTTGATGGTGTTTTATTATGTCCTTCATATTGGAAGTATTAGCCTGTAATCTGTAACTCACTCTTAAAAATATGGACATTGAAACTGTCTTAAATGTTCTAAAACTGACATTGGAGGGTTTGTAAAAATAAAAGATAAAGATTTTTATTCCCAGTGCATTCTCTACCAGCTGGCTGATTTATGTGCAATAAATAATTCCATGTTCTTCTTTGAGCCACAGTCAGAAAAATACCCAAGCCTTCTTTAACAATCTGAGCCAGAGTTATTTATGTTGCTCTCTCCCTTGTGACGTGCCAAAGCAGTTGATGTCAAGTAGATGGTCCTTTTCCCCCCTAAATTGCAGGAATGGTACAGGGGTCAGGGCTTTTATGTTTGTAGATGTGTTTCTAGAATTGTTACCCGCAGGATATTTGTCAGTTACGTTTAGAAGTAATGATTCATGAAAAGCACTCATGTGCATGAATTCATGGACGAGATCTGAAGGTGAGGTGAGGCTCATGTAGCACTCTGCTACCCATGTTCTGGCAGAGGGAACAGGAGGATTAAAAAGGATCAGTGAACTTCATGAAAATAAGGTATGCTTTAAAATATCTGTACAACACTTAAGAAAAATGTTTTTGGAGTCTTTCCTTACTGTTGCAGCTCAAGCAATGCCTTAGAGAATAGTCTTTCAGAAACATTCTGTTGGAGTGTGGAGGCTGTATTCAGATAATGAAGAATGTGGAGTGGGATGGTCTATAAAAACAAGTTCTTTATGGGTGTTGAAGTGCATTGGTAAAAACAAAATTCGGTCTAAGCTGCAGTAAATCTAAATTCTGGGCAAATTGATGTACAATTTTAATGCTGAGAGAACCCTGAAGAATTGGGAGGTGTTGAGCTCTGGCCACTGGGATACCCCTTTGGTAAGAAGAGAAAGCATTCTGAAAGGTGTCTGTGCTCATTTTGGGTATTTGTTCTTGCAAATCTTATGCTGGAATTATGGGAAGACCCAGCACTTCTGGGGAGAGAGAGCCTGTGGGTGCTGGCTGATAGCAGCGGAGCACGAGGCAGCGTGTGCCCGGCTGGCCAGGAGGCCAGTGGGAGCCTGCCTTGTATCAGAAATGGCACGGCCAGCAGGGCAGGGGAGTGATGGGACAGTGGTGAGGCCACACCTCGAGTCCTGTGTTCAGTTTTGGGCCCCTCATGACAAGAAGGACATCGAGGTGCTGGAGCCTGTCCAGGGCAGGGCAGAGGCGCTGGGGAAAGGGCTGGAGCACAGGGCTTAGGAGGAGCAGTTGAGGGAGCTGAGGGGGCTCAGTCTGGGGAAGAGGAGGCTCAGGGGTCCCTTCTGGCTCCCCACAACTCCCTGACAGGAGGCTGTGGCCGGGTGGGGTTGGTCTCTTCTCCCAGGTAATGAGTGCTAGGAGAAGAGGAAATGGCCACAAGTTGCACCAAGGAAATTTTAGATTGGATGTTAAGAAATGTTCTTTCCCTGAAAAGAGTGTCCAGCATTGGAACAGGCTGCTGAGGGACATGGTGGAGTCACCCTCCCTGGAAGTACTCAGAAAGCATGTGGATGTGGTGTTTTTTGGGACATGGTTTAGTGGTGCACTTGGCAATGTTAGCTTGACAGCTGGACTTGATGCTTTTGGAGGTCTTTTCCTACCATAATGGTTCCATGATTCCTGCCTCGCTGAAGCCTCCTCAGATAGCACTGGTATTTTTTTTATTTTATTATGAGCAGGTTTTAAAACAAGCAGTGGCAGGAGTTGGTATCAGGGTTGATAGAGCAGTGGCATTTCAGTTAACTTTGCTTTGATCCTACAGAAGGAGCAACACAAAGATGAGGTGTATTGAGCAAAATTGCATTAGATTGAATTCAGTACTTTTGCCCATTCTTGATATTTATGCTGGGCTTGCCTGTCTGTCTCTAAAGTAGAGGGAATTTCTATATTTTCTGAATATAATCATAATTATATATTTTTTATTTTAATAACAATATAAAATCATTTGTAGAACTTTAACCATTATTGTCTCTTTTGTTTCTTTTAAATGTAGGTTACAACATTAGTAAACTGTCCACAGAATCCTTCTACTAAGAAAAAGGGCCGTTCCAAAAGAGCTCGTGTCTTGCTTGCTTCTGTGGAAGAAGCCACTTGGAATCTGTTGGACAAGGGAGAAAAAATTGCCAAGGAAGCAGTTGTGTTTAAAGAGGAACTTCATGCAGCACTCGCTGATGTGCGGAAGGAGAGTAAGTACGTGGCAAACAATTGAGGCACCACGAGGAATTGGTTTAACCATGCCTGGTGTCAAAATGAAGCTAGGATATCTAGGGGAAATGGGTTGTGATATGCAAATGTCTGAACTTGAAGTTGTCTAGTTATATATTCTGGGATACCACCTGTAAGGAGGTAAAGTGTGCAAGCTAGGCCCCATTAGGAAAAAATACATGTATCAGTGGAAGTTTTGTTGTTTGGATTTTTGTTTTTTCTTTTCATGAGGACAGGATGCCTCTTGATCATTTCAGTGGCTGTAAAGCATGACTAAAAGTTAATGTATGTTTTAACTTCTTGAACTGTTTACCTGAATCTCAGATTAAGGCCTCTTAAATCTTCCCTCTTTAGTGCATTAGTAAGGATTTCATTTGGGAAGGTACAATAGTCCAGTGAGGAGGTATGTTTTGAGAGCAGGAGGAAGATGGATCCTTTAACCTATCATAAGAGTCATCCCCTCCTGATAGAGCAGCTCCTCTCAGGTGAGTTGTATCATGTTCTGTGTCCTCCTGACTTAATCTCTCAATTTTGAATCTGATTCCCAGAACTAGGCTAGTTTTTGTGATCTGCAGAGAATGTTGTAGGCATTTTCTTGCAGGCTCTTTGTTGTTTTCCTGAGTTTTACTTTTCCCCATGGAAACTGGGAATATTTGGGTGAGCACAAAGGCCCTGAGTCACATGACCAACATCCTAAATGTGTTCCTGCAGAAAACACAAGTTAAAGTTTATTTATGTTTTAATTACATCATCCTGCCTTTAGTAAAGATGGAGCTTAATCAGATTTTTATTTGTTCATCTTGCACATGCAACTGGGGTGGTTTTTGAGTCTCTGCTGCTGTTCAGAGCAGTGATTACTTGCTTTTGGCTTCCTCTGAATGTAGAGATAGCTGTGGTTTAGAGTTTGATCTATGCATATGGTGTCTGAGATACCTTAAGGTCCTTTGTGATTAAAAGCGTTATGACCAGAAAGAATCACTGTTATCTGTCACACTGAGCAGCTGAGGCTCTTGCAGAATCATTCATTTTGGAGTACTCTTAAAATGTTAGCCCATCCATTACAGGCTGATAACACAAGGTAAGAATAAAATACATAGTTTTATATTGATTTTTATACACAGAGAAATTGAAAATGTGAAATATTTTTTTATTACTTATTGATTCTCAGCCAAGACTAGAGGTAACTACAAAAATAAATAATACATAAAAGTAGATTATATACACCTCATACATTTTAAGAGACAGTTAAGTCCATGTTATCACCTATCATTATGCAATGATGAAGTGAGTGGTTGCAACTGATCTCCCTTCAAGGATTTGCCAAACTGCACAGGTTAGTTTTAAGAAATTGTTGAAACAATTGTGAAAAAGGTAGAAGTTTATTAATTTTGAAGGTTTTTTTAACCTTTGAAGCTGTGTGCTATTTTTAATTTGTGGTATGTCACATCATATGTAACTTAACTGTTATTCATGCCACATTCTGCTGCAGTTAAATGTCTCCTGTTATTTACTCCAAGCTCTTTGAAGGGATGAGGGTCATCAGCCACGGTTGCATGCGGTCACCTGCCATGCATGTCACAGTATACAGTATTTCATTTTCTCTGGTGGCTGGCAGAGACTTTTATTAATGCAATCTTAAATTAATTAGGAAGTTTGCACATGACTACAGCCTGTATTTCCTGGATAATGGCATTTTGAAGAAATACTTTAGATAATTTCACTCACATCAACCAAACTCAGATTTGCACATTGGGATCTGGAAAGAATAAATTCTGTCTCACCTCCTGTTGCCTTTTACCTGGTGTCACATGCTGAACTTGTTCAGTTGGGGGTGCATCATGAGCATTAAACACTTAATCCTTTTGAATGTCAATTGCCAGTGTGAAAACTCCTTCGTTACTTTTGTAGCTCATTAATTTGGGGCTCCTTTTAAAGGAGAGATTTACTTTTTTCAATCTGCTTCTGATAATCCTATTCACAATAATGCTTTGGAGAATAAAGGAGCAAATAAATGGGATAAAAATGAAGAGTGGGGGTAATGTTTGGTGTATCTAATTAATCTGTATCTAATTCACGACCTTCAGAAATCATGACAACATGGATGTGGCTTCACTGACTACAGCTTGCTCTTGGCACTGTCAGTAGATGAGATTTTGGAGTCTCAAATTCAGTTGAATTCTGTTAGTGACCTCTGAAAGAAGGTGTTACTATAATGGATGACAGACATGTTACCTGGATAAATAGTGTCTGCTTCCTTTGACATCTGCAAAGTTTTGTCAAAGATTTATAGGCTTGGAGACAATAATTTAAATAGAGTTTTTCTGCATTTTTCTTTGTTTCCTCTCAAGAAAGTACTTTTTAAGGCCTGCCCACATCTTGATATCTTCTTCTGGAACTTTGCTAAATGGATCAGCAGGAAGGTTTGTGGGTGGTGGACTGTATGCATCATCCAGAAATCCACTAGCATAGTAACTGAGGAACTGCCATGATTTCCTGTTGATCTGATTTGGTGAAGCTTTGTTAGAGGCTACTTATGTCCACAGTTTTATTCTAAAATAGTGTCATAAACCCCAAAGTAAGTGTGTTGAAAAACTCTGACTGAGATTTCACGTGCATGCAGCATTTCAAAAGATTGTCTTCTAATTCAATGTTCTGTGGAATATCTGAGCCCTATGCAAAGAGTGTAAGGAGCATTGTTCAACCCTGAATGCTTCTGACACTAACCACCAGTCTCGAATTCATGTTCTGATGCTTAATCAGTTTTAAGGCAAAACAGCAATGCTGTTCATGTGGTGAAATGTTGCTGTAGAAGTCTGAATTGAAGTCTAGCGTTATCCTTAGGATGATGAGTTTTTGCATTTATGTGAAAGTGTGATGCCTTGCAGTTCTCAAACAGTTGCATGGGCATAACTGAAATGTTTGGTATTTACTGCCATTGCTGACTGACTATATATAGTCAGAAACATAGCAGTTGTTGTCTGCCTTGTTTCTGTCTATTGAGTGTCAGTGTTTCTTGTGTTTAGCTGTTATCATGCTCAAGTGTGTTCCCAGATAAACTTGTCATCACACAGAACAGTGAATTGAAGCAAGTTACTTGCTGGAGTTACATTTTGAGCCTTAAGTTACTCTTTAAAAGGAAATTCTAACAAATACTTTGATGTTTTGAGCGGCCATATTTAATGTCTTTTGATATTAAACATGGGAGGCAAGAGTTTGATGGCATGGAAAACACTACCATTCACTGGTAAGAAATGGGAGCTTAAAGAGGGCATTTACTAAAGGAAGGGTATATGTATTATACTATGTTCTTTTTTGTCCCTCCTTTCATCTTAAAAGTAAACTTAACTTTCTCATTCTACATAAGGAGGTATGTGTGTATATATTCTACATCTAAGGGACTTCTGTTCTGGGAGGCAGAACTTAAATGGCTTAGAATTATCTGTGCTGTGCACTCCTTTCATCAAACCAAGAACAGATCCCCTGCAGAATAGCTTTTGACATCAGCATCACTGGATCAGGTGCCCCTGAGTGGGAAAGGGAGAATGAAGAGGTGGGCGTGAGGAATGATGGGGATGTGTCGTGGCTCTGCTTACATGTTAGGAAGAACTGGATGAGACGTGGAAGTGGAACTTCCTGATATGCAGTGGTGAAATAGTTGCTATGCAACAGAATCCAGTGGTATCTGAGTGGGATAAGAGCCTGTGTGGCGGGAGAGAAATGTCCTGTAACAGCCCCAGAAAGCTATTGTGAGAATCTGAGTTATCACAGTGTTGAATATTAGGAACATGCAGGAGGTATCGATCTGCTGTGCCCTGACAACCGATAGTGTCACTTCAGCTGGGTGACTGAAGCAGAATCCTTTTATTTGCTCTAGCAGATGGAGATGGTATTTGTAGAAACAGAACAGGTGATTTTACTGGTGACTTGTATCGTTTAATCTTGTGTTTTTAGAAAGGGTATGTTGTTCTGTGCTGTGATGTGACCTTGACTCCCAAGCTTCTCTAGCACTTATTCCCCTTAACGCATTAGTTCATGCCTGCAGAATTTGAGGCTGCACGTACTAGTGTCAGTAAGAGCTAACAAGTGCTCTGTTACTGGTGAGACCCCATGTGGAATACTGTATTCAGCTCTGTGGCCCTCAACATAAGAAGGACATGGACCTGTTGGAGCCAGTCCAGAGGAGGCTGCGAAGACGCTCAGCAGAACTGAGCACCTCTCCTGTTAAGGCAGGCTGAGAGAGCTGGGCTTGTTCAGGCTGAGGAGAAGGCTCTGGGGAGACATCACTGGAGCCTCTCAGAACCCAAGGGGGACCTGCAAGAGGTCTGGAGAGGGACTTTCTACAAGGCGGAAAGGCTTTAAACTGACAGAGGAAGAAGTTGTTCACCATTGTCACCATTTCTTCCTACATGGACCTACAACAACCATGACAAATGCTGGCGCCATGCGACACTGGCACAGGGTGCCCGGAGGAGCTGTGGCTGCCACCTCCCTGGAAGTGCCCAAGGCCAGGCTGGATGGGGCTTGCAGCAACCTGGGCTAATGGAAAGTGTTCCTACCCCCCATGACAGGAGGATTGGAACTAGATAATCTTTTAGGTCCCTTCCAAACCAAAGCACTCTAGGATTCTGTATTATAAACCATTGTGGGCTTTTTCTTGGTTGTTTGTATTTCTATTCTCAAGTTTGAGACTGAAATGTTGGAAATTCTTTCTACTAACTTTGGTATGTCTTTTCCCCTCAGTAAATGAGCTCCTCTTGTCAGCTGTGTTTCTCTGGAGCTGTAAAGCCATCAGCCTCTAACAGTGCAGTTCAGGAGTGGGTGACAGGACTTTCTTGGCAACAGTACCTCCTTGTGGGAGGACACAAGAATGGCATAAAATTCATTGCATTCCATGTGCATTTCGCACTGCTGCAGTTTAAAAAATAAGATGAGAAAGCCAGTTGTAAATACAAATAGAAGAGAGGAAAATGTGGTACTTGGATGGGATTTCAAAAGGAGAAAGAAAAGCTATTCATATAAATAAAAGAAGAAAGCATAATTGTGTTGATCTTTCCTAAGCCAGTGAAGAGCACTGCTGTTGTCAGTGTGATGCTGAGCACTGTGTCTGAGGGTGCTCACTGCCTGCGGTTGGTGGCGTTGTTGCAGTGTCTGCACGGACACAGCCTGCCATGAGCTGTCAGCTAATTGCCAGCAGGCTCACAGTTCACTTGTTTTTAAAGGAATTTTAATGTAAGTTTTTGGATATTTTTGGTGCTGGATAAAGTGTGTGAATCCTCTAACTATTTAAAAAATTACTTGTGGCTGAACAGTGTTTTTTACATTTACCTGTGCCTGAGCAGATTTTTGTAGGCACGTGTAAGTAACAGTCATTTGACACAGCAGTAGCTGTCAGTAGCTGATCAGCTGATGGTAGAGCAGCATTTACTTTGGGAGTCATCTTATCTGGGTGTGTTGAACAGAGTCTTGGAAATATCTGCCTGACAGTAATTGTGCAGTTATGATAGATCCTGGCTTTGGTTCTTTAAATTGCTTTTTGTTTGGTTGTCTAAAAGAATTGAAATACTTTGAATGCTGCTGTCTCTCTGAATTCCTATTTGTGCCACTAAAAGGACATTTTTTGCGTTTCATTGTTTGTGACAAATGTAATTATGGAAGAATATCCAGTTGATGGGAATTAAAATAAAAATGTATTGAATTGCATCAGATTGTCATGCTGTCTACTGCAATTTAAGGAAGTTTCAACATCGTGTTGTTGTTGGAGCTGTCATTTTCTGCTGTTTGTACTTGTAGCTCCTATCTGTCTAGCCTGCATCTCATGGCTCTATTTTAGGGTTATGATTTTATGTGTTCATGAGAGCTTATGTTGCTCTCATTTCTAAGGGCTTGGTCGTATTCAGACCCTTCTATCTTGTGTTTGCTCACAGAATTGCAGAATGTTGAGGGGTGGAAGGGACCTCTGAGGGTGGTCTGGTCCAATGCCCCAGGTCAGGCAGGGCCAGCAGTCTGCCCAGGACCATGCCCAGTCAGGTTTTTAACATCTCCCACGATGGAGACTCCACAGCCTTCCTGCTTGGCCTGTGCTGCTGCTGAGTCACTCTCACAGTGAAAAAATATTTTCTGATGCTTACATGGAATCTCCTGTATGTACCCATGTTTGTACCCATTGCTTCTCTCCCTGTTGCTGGGCACCACTGAGAGCAGTCTGGCTCCAGGTCCTTTTCACCTTCATTCAGGAATTCATGGTGCTTGTCACTGCTGTCCGCATTGTTGAATTTCGTTTACCAAACTTCACATTGGAGAGCAGTATATTGTTGTCTACTGGCAGTCACTAGCTCCGTGGCACAAATTTCACTTCATGTTGGTCAGATGTTTGGGTGTATGAGGTTTTCATTCCATTACCTTATATTTGCAATGAGAAGAGCAATATTTGATTTCCTTCTGTGACCAGGAATTACTTAATCACAAGGACACCAAAGTACAGAGTAATATAAGAAGTAGTGACTAGAAAAGTTCAACAAAGCTGCTGGCTTTGTTGTGTTAAGAGTAATAGTGTGAAGGCCAAGGGAATTATTTCAGAATTAAATGATGCTGTAGAAGAGAAAGGGAATGGAAGATGTGGAACATTAACCTGCACGATCTGTAATCATTGACCTTCATTTCAAGGCATTAGGGCAAGAAAGAGATGCCAAATTTATTGGCAATACTTGTGCCTTGCCAAGTAACTGGACTCCAGCGACTTCCTTTCCTTTGGGTGTTGCGGTGCAGCCTAAGGAAGTGTCTCCTGTTGCAGGTCGGGCCCTGCAGGTGTCAGCAGAGGCGTTCACCAGCGATCCCTGCTCCCTGCCCCGGCGCCAGGCTGTTGTCCCAGCCGCTCGCTCCCTGCTGGCCGCCGTCACCAGGCTCCTCGTTCTGGCCGACATGGTGGACGTGGCCTATCTGCTGCAGCACCTGACTGTGGTGAGTAATGCTCTGCTCTCCTCAGGCTCCTGGCAGCCACAGCTGTGTCTGCTCAGGGCATGGAGAACTCTTTCTGTACTTCAGCCTTGTAGTCTCATGCACATAACACCTGGGCAGCACTAGATTCTAGATGAGATTTGTGAATGGACCAAAAAAACTCGTCTACTTGCAGCTCGGCATATTTGATCTATTTTTGGTTCATTTTTTCCCACTAATACTTTCAGTAATTTATAAGAGACTGATAAATACACAAATTTCTGTTGACTTCCTAATATTTCAGGGCAGAGGTGAATAATCAGTGCCACCTCTCATAATGCCTCATGCCACGAGAGAACACAGTGACTTAGAGGACCATGTTGAAGCGAGTTCAGTTTGGTGAGGATAAGAGAATGAAAATTTGCCTCCAAATCAGACTAGAAAAAGTAATTCATGATAAAACAATGTTGTGTGGGTTTCAGTACTGGGCTTGAAAAATCTGCCACTGACAACTGCTGGAGATGCACCACAGGCTACATTAACACTGTCTTGCAGAAGCTTCTGTGTTGTTCTGTATGTTTAAATTTGTCAGCTGTAATAGGAATGGCCTATGTCTTTTGTACTGTTCATGGAAAATGTTCTTAAATTATGATATTTTTCATGGTAATCTATTACATTTTTAGGGTTTATTTTCATAATCCTAGATGCTCTCTTCTGAGATATATTTGAGTATGTTTTGAACGAGAGAGCTAAAATTAGATGGTTTTCTTTACTAGAGTTTCAGTATTTCTAAACGGCTGTCTAATTAACTTTATGTTTTCCATCTGAAAAAGAAAACAAAAAATAACTGAAAATGGTGAAAGAATACAGAGTATCATTCAGGAACAACTCCAGCACTGCAGAGTGCCATTAAATTGTCATCTTCCTCCACATTTCCTTTTAATAGGAGGGAGAACTGAATTTGTAAATGAACCCTTAGAATAAATTAGTGTGGTAAAACACTCTCAGTAAAGCCTGTGCAAAAAGACTCACCCTAGTTGTTAGTGTGTTACATTTTGCATATTTATTTAGTCTCTGCTCTGGCTGTTGAACTTGCCAACAGTGGTATTAGCTGTAATGGTGTCTTTTATGTTGACATCTAATTAGGAAATTGACTTAATGTAATTTCAACATATGCTATTGAACATCCCCAGTTTCTACCAACTTTTGGTCACAGCTAACTGAGCCAGATTTAAAGGCAATTAAATATTTTAATGAATTTCAACATGGCTCTATTCTAAGTGTTTAACTGTAATCATTATACTTTAAAACTCCCGTAGGAATTCAATTTTCCTTCAGCGTGGACTTGCTCCCACAAAAAGACACTGTATTCACACAGTGTCAAAGTAGACCTTGTCTTTGCTGTATCAGCTGTAATATTCTTGGGTTTTTCAAGTTAATATGCCTTGAAAATCAACTCCTTAGAAGTCTTTAGCTGTTTTTCTTCGCACTTGTTCTAAAACCTTAATACTTCTACCATATTACCCTGCTCTTCAGTTATGATAACATGGGTGTTGCAGCTGTTATCATTTAGGAGATGGGAAATTTCATTGCTCTTTATTTCCATGTCTCTGAGCACTGTAATTTTTATGGGGTAGACAAAATTGATTTGAAAAATTAAAAAAAAAAGTAATAGTAGAATAAAAGACAAAAATTCTAATCAAGGACCTATTCTTTATATGCATATATAAAATGAAAGAAGTTGGTTCACCATCATGAAAGCACTCTGTACCGTATTAGTCATATCTTGCTCAATATGAAAGTATTTAATGGGGAATTACCTATTCAAGTACCTAATATTTTTCAAACCCATTTATCAAAGAGTGCTGAAAGTTTTTAGTCTTGGTCACTCACCTAAATTACTTAATTCCAACACTTGTTTAAAACTATACCTTTTTCTACTGACAGAACACACACTAGATCATTAAACTTTAATTTCCTCAGTAACCTGGGAATAAAAATAGAAAGAATACAAAGACAATGTGTCTGGCTGTCATAGAAAGCCTCATCTACTGTTACCTGTCACATCTGTCTGTTGATGTTTATCTAGGAAAAAAGGATGAACCTCAGCTGTCTCCTTCCAGTTTATGTAGTCTCTAACAATATTGTCTTCTGTACATTTTCTTGGACTTAGGACTGTTTTTGAATTTTGTGTAATAAAGTCTTCATATTAAACAGTATGTAATTCTGAAAATACGGAGTATTTTTCATCACAAAAATAGTGAAATGTGACTCTTCAAAACTAGAAATAACAGGTAAGTGAGTTTGAAAGGATTTGGTAATCCTGGGGGGAATTTCAAACTGAATGTTCAAAAACACAGCTTTGTGAACAGGAAATTAGCTTTTTTAGAAGTTCACTGAAAAAGTACATCACACCAAAAAGAAAGGTTTTCCTTCTTTAAATACTTTTTTTTAAAACAGGGATCAGTTTAATAAATACCTATGTCTGTCTGAGTTTCCATGCTTAAAGAGTTTGAAGTTCTAAAGAAGCAACTGAGCTCTGAAAAATGTGGTCACACAAAAGGCTGTCTTCTGTATTGCACTCTTGATTCAGAGCTGTGTTAGCAGCTCATCCATTATGGTTAGTAATGCTCGATATTATTTAATTAAGTGAATTAACAGACTAATGGTATTGCTTAAATTTATTGATTAGAAGAGAACAGCAGGAAAGTAACAAGTTTGGAGAATTTCAGTCAAAGAGCATTGGCAGTCTGTCTTTCTCTAATCGGTTTCAGATCATGCTGAGCCAACATGTTTTATCTGCCTTTTTCCTCTTCATGTCATGCTTGTAGATTTACTGTGCAAGTCTTGATATTTTTCATGAATACATCAGACAGCAGGATCTTTACAAAATGCTTGCCTACAGTTATTTAGAACTCCTGTCAGGGAAAAAAAAAAAAAAGAGAATGGCTACAGATAAGAAGCAACTTGTGAAGTTGGGTCCTGTGAGTGTAGTACTGTCTGTTCCTCCCTTTCCTGCACAGTATTCAGCAGCATTAAAAATGTTCTGAGCAAGAACTCGGTAGGGTTGCATGGAATGAAAGAGGAAGGTCATCTTGGGCTGCCCTGTGCTTCAGATGTAGGGGCTTGGTTCAGCTTCCAGAACTGTGCTTAATTGATCTAGATCCCTGTGTGGAGCCTTTCTACCCTCCAGCAGATCACTTTGGACTTGTGTGAGTCTTAGATGGTGTAGCTGGTCACTAAACATTTCATTTTGGACTGGGGGGGATTCGTTCTGCTCCCCATCCCTGTGCTCAGCTTCAGGGGCTTGGATACCTGGAAGACAACTGGTCCTGCTGCTGAGGACTGAGACAGCGAAGTACCTCAGACTTTTCCTCTTTGGCACTGTTTCTCCCTGCATCCAGTGAAGGATGGCAATTGTCCTTACCCCTCCATTTGTTCCTGACGTGTTTATAGAAACCTTGTTTTTTACAGCAGTAGTCAGATAAGTTCTAACTTCTTGCCACCTTCCTTTGTTGGGCGTGGGTCACTCCGATGGCAGAGGACCTTCTGGGGCATAAGGAGTATTAAGAAGGTGACAGGAGTCTTTGAGAGAATATTTGGCTTCTCCTTTGGTTCACACTCCTATTTATTTTCTTGTCAGAGATTCCTGCTACCAATCAGATGTTTGTCTGGGGTACATGGGATGCAGTTGTTTGGAATCAGGGCTACAGTGCTAATCATTACACTCTGAAAATTCCGTGGCACTCTGTGATGTACAGTAAGTAACAGAGGAAAAGTAGCTTCTAAAGAATTGCTTTTAGGAGCTGGCTTTTTCAAAGTGAGCATTCTTTTGAGTGCAGTAGGAATCTGGATCCACTTCTGTGCTTGGTATAGGAGCCTCTTGAGTGCTCCTTTGTAACTTGTAAAAATAAATCATTGTCAAGCTGTGGGATGATAAGTTCTGACTGGAATGTTAAGCTGTAAACATAAAGCTTGGGGAGATCTGTAACATAAAGGTGTTTTGTAGCAGAGGTTAATACAATGCTTGAAGTCATCAGAAGTACAGGTGAGTGTGAGAAGTTCATATTGTGTCTGGGATGAAGTTGGAAGGTGGCATATTAGGGAAGCAGAGGCCTGTTTGAAAGAATTGTTTGGACTGTGCAGATGCCTGCATGCTGCAGTCAGTGACCAGTGCTCCATTGCAGTTGACTCTGTTTGAACCTCTCAGGGAAAGAACATGGCTGGGGGCTTCCCTTGGGAGTGTCTGTGACTGTGTTTGGCCTCTGCAGCAGCATGCATTCACCACTGAAGTGCTGTGCTTGTAAGAGAATAGTATGCAAGTGATGTTCTGAAATTTCTTTCTCTGGAGTGCTAACATGGGAAGGCACATTTTAGGCTGGGAAAATAATCTTGGGAAATTATCTTCTCCTGGCACATTATTTATTGGTAGTGTAGCACAAAGTTGGTGTAATGCAGAATGGCTTGTCTGATCAACAGTTCAAGCATGCAGAGATCATTCTGATCTAGAGAAATGTATTTTATAACTCATTTGTGCTTTGAGAGGCAGAAATGAGGAAATGCATGCAAAACAAACAGTGTCTGCTTTATCATCAGAGTGTGGGTCTTCATACCTTTTTAAAATGTCAGCAAAATCATCTGATATTTCCTGAATGGAAAAAGCTGTGAGCTGCTTTCTGTAAACCTCTCCAAAGGAGGCACATTGCCCATTCCATTACAGCAAAACAGGAGAAGAGCAGCTTTTTTCTTGTAAGTATGTGTGTTCAGTAATTGGAATTTAAGAGTGGTTGTGAATGGCTTTTTTTCCAGCCATATCTCTGGGTAATTTATATAGTACATTTAGTTATAATTTAGTCTTTTAAAGAACCAGTACCTTTTCAAAACAGAAATGTATATTTTTCAATGGATAGCTTCCTTATGTCAAAGTGGAAGTAAAATTTGCTTCTTGTCCTTAATTCAATTCATATTAATCCATGTGAAAAGAAAGAGAAATATTTTACCAATATAAAGAGTATCAGTATTACCATCTTCCACTGCACAGGGTAGTGGAAGATGGTAATACTGATACTCTGAAATCCAAGTACTCTTTGACTTGTGCAGCTCTAGATGAACAAAAAAGAGCCTTTTCTCCTAATTCAAGAATAACAGAGCGGCTTTTTGCAGCCCTGGCCCTAAATCTAAACCAGCTGTGTAGAGGGAAACTGCGTAAAGGAAGTGCAGCAGGCCCTTTGGCTACATCATCTTTATAGAGCTAGACTCCCAGGCACGTGCCATTAAAGGTGTGTGCAGCAGCATCATGCCCAAGGTGGAGAAGCAGGATTGGCTGCCCCCATCCCTCTGCCTGTTTATATGGAGCTTCAGAGGTGGTTACCAGGAACATGGCTTTGTGCTCTGTATTCAGTAACGTCACTTCCCACACTTCTGAATTATAAGCAATGAAGCACTTTGCACTGCATGTTTATAATCCCATAATTCTCTGTCCTGGCTTCCTGCTTAGCTGGTAAGCCATGAATTTTCATGGCTCATATTGAAGATGAAATGTAGTAAATTTTGGCTTAAGCAGTATCAAAATTTTAGTATGATTAATTAGTTTAGTATGATTCCATTTTGAAATGTGTAGCCACTCTGTCTCAGCCTCTTTTCTTTGAACTCATTGCCTCATTTTCGTTACATATGACAGCAGAGCAGAAGTTCCATTCTCCTGAATGTAGGCAGAAGGATAGTGGAGAAAACTCTCAAAAATGCTACGTCAGGAGCTCATAAAGACAGCAGAGGATTCTCAGTTGTTAATCCGCTTTACCGCAGGAGAAACTTCAGTCAGAGCTCACCTCTTATCTTTGACATTGCGGTGTGTAAGATGTGAGACCATGGGACTTTCAGTCCTGATGCTTACAGTCACACTTACGAACTGGATGAGCCATGGTCAGTGTCTGAGAGGAGGCTGCAGGACTCCACCTTACCCTAATCAGGCCCATCATACTTCCAAGGAGGCTGTGTTATAGCACTCTTCTGGCCTGTCCACATTTGTGATCCTCATCACTTTCAGGGTTCTGATGGTATTTGTTGCTTTGTGGTACCAAAAATGGGACAGTGAGAGTTGCTTCACTTAGTTGAAGCATTCAGTATGTGTTGGTTTCCAGTTGAATGAGCACAGAGCCTTCATTCAGCCTTATGTTGAAGGTGCCTGCTCAGGACATTGGGGCTGCTGAGTTATCCACTCTGCCTTGTAGGACCAGGGTGCCGGGCTCTGGTTCTGCATTTGGTGGGTTTGGGGTTTCCTGTGAAAGGAATGCTGTGATATTAATGAATATAAAGTCATGCCCTTCTCTTTAAGGTACAAAGTTGTCTATGCAGTATCTCTGCTGAGAAGTTACCTGTGGTAACTTGACAAACAGAAGAAGCTCTGATAAAATCATAGAGATATGATTTTACCATGGAGGGAAAATGAGTCCAGGTGGCTGCCTAGTAGTGCCACCGAGAACAAAAGCAGCAAAGGAATGCTACTTTCGGCTTCCAGAAACGGTTCAAAGCACTTTGAAAATGTAACAGGCAGAAAAGAGCTTCTGTGAATCTCTTAGGATTATTTATATTTGGTTATTGGTAAGAGAAAAAAGAAGTCAGAAATTCTGATATTTCTTTCCACCTCTAGGCAGGGGAGATGTGAGAGTTTTTTTTACTACTCACCCCAAAATGCTGGTTCACACTGATAGAAGTATGATGCAGAGAGATCCAGATGTAGTTTTAAGTTTAATATATGTGCTGATAACCTTTGTATGTCCAAGGCACAATTTTCTGATTTCCTGCTGATGACAGTGGAAAGAGCATATCTATGTTTTCTTAAAACTGCTTCGTTGATTTTTTATTTACTTTTGAGTTAAATTTTTAAAATGTGTTTCTCCCTTGCATCTAAAGACAGATGTGGATGTTCTGGCAGTTACCTATCAGTTTTATTGAAGCATGTTGCCCTTATAGTTACACATTTGATTTGTATTTGATCGTGCTCTCATGCTGCTTCTTATATCTCTTTCCAGAGAGCCAAATGTATTATTAATGTTTGGGTTGCTGCAGGACATGAAGTGAGTGATCTTGCTAGCAGAGCTCCTGTTAATGAGGCATTGAAGCTGTGGGATTAAGTACATCCTTAAAAGGATGATGATGATGATGATTCTACAACTGGATTGTAGTCTAAGATGTTGATGATTATCTAAAAAAAAAAAAAAGATGCCTCAAGAAAAGACTGTACCTTATGTTTATTTAGTGAGTTGGGGAATCACTGGAGACCTTTTCCCTGTGTTATTCAATCCCACAACATGGTGCAACAGCTTTGGGCTAAGTTCTGGAGAAATATGTTGTGGTTTGAAGCAGAAGGTGCATGATGAACTTGCCAGAGACAATATGAGCAGTTTCTTACACACTTGAAAAAAAGCAAGGATTATGGAGTGCTTTTGGTCACCTTAAACTGAACTCAGGTCTTGTTTGCAAATGTTGCAATTAAGTTGCTTCCAGCTAAGGAGGTATCCAGGAGTGGGAATTAATGAAAGCAGACATTGCAAATGCAAGGCTTTCAGATCAGCTCTGGAGCAGAGATAAAATCTGAAAACAACAAATCACAAAAAAACTGGAAGATAATGAAGGCAAACAGAAAAGAATAGAGAGTATTGCAGTTTTGTCTTAGCATGTGTGTTCTGTCAGCCATGTTGATACAGAATTCAGGAACATATACTTTGGGTGAGAAAGTTTTATTTTTTGGTAGCAGACAGTTTAAATGCAACTAGAAAGTCTCCAGTTAACCTCTAGTAGTGCTGAATGAGGTAGAGTAAGATAAATTACAATAGATGAAAACACTGCCTTAACTTGCCTTTTGGTTATGAGAGCAGTGAGACTGAAATAAAGGCTGCAGAGTGGCAAAGAAGACGTGCTGACTTGCCTGAAGTTTCCAGGCAAGTTGTTGTAAATTGTCAGTGGAAATCCACTGCAGCTGCTTTTTATCCCCAAGGAGAAGTACCTGGGGGCTGTTCAGCATCAGGTACAGCTTGGGCTTGAGCTGAGTCCCCTGCTCAGGAATGAGGGGCTCTGGAGCACTCCACATCCATGGTCAGCATGGGCTGTCAGTTATGTTGTCAGCTTCTTAAAGAGGGACAGAAGATGAGTGGAGGTTTTAATTTTTTTTCCCCTTCTGCTCCTGTCGTTCATTATTCCAATTCAGTGGCTGTAGTTTAAGCAAAAGTATAGAGAAATGTGGGCTGTAGTTACTGCAGAAGTGCTTGGTTTTCCAGAAGTGACTGGAAAGCAGTCCATTGCCTCATTCCCTGGGCACTGGTGCCACGGGTGAGCTTCACCTGCAGGCCCTGGAACTGCAGTAGGCTCAGTCAGTATTGTGGAAGGATTTACAAGTGTGTAGCTCTTCCTGATTATTTCAGTGTAAATATACGTTTATAGACTTGCTTCTGGTGGTAATCACAATAACAAAACATTACTGACCTACCTGCAGCTTTGCAGCCATCACATGCTCATGAGGTGAAGAAGGATATTTACAGCTGGGAAAACAGCAAGTCAGAGGAGAAGGCTCATGATTTCCTGAAGGTAGCAAGGAAGCTGGACCTCCACTTCTCCTCTGACACAAGTCTTAACCTTTCTGTTACAGTTCCTACAGCTGGGCTGGTGTTGTGCATCTCTGAAAAATACCAGTCCTATTTTTAATAATAGTGCATGCATGAAAGAAGTTTTAAATTTAAAAGTAAGGTCTATAGTGAAGCATAATTGGAGTTGTTACAGTTTTCATGCAGAATGTGGGCACATTGCCCAAGGTGTTTATCTACTCTTTAATTACTCTTAAGTAAATTAACTTGATGAGAGGCACCCTGTGATTTCTAAGTTCTACTGTTACGCTTGATAGAATGAGTTCATGGCCTGTGTAAAGTCGCATATGCTTTCCTTAGTTGAAAAGAAAGTATTTAAATCTGTGTCAATTTATTACTTCCTGGAACTTGGCATAGAAAAAGAACTCACCTTTAGAGATTGGTTGCTTGTGTTTGGTCTAACCTATGAAGTTAGAGGACTTCATTTAATTGATGAGGGCATATGTACAATGCTTTGAATTCTGTGATTGGTGTCAAAACAAAACTGTAAGAATATGTGGAAGGTTAGAGGTGACAAAGCTCAATAGCCTTAGTGTTGAGTAGAAAATAATTGTAATACAGATTGAAACACAACAACTGTATGAATGATAATTTTTTGTTGGCTTTTTTTTTTTCTTTTCCCTCGCAGTTTCAAAGAACATTTGAATCTTTAAAAAATGTATCCAGTAAATCTGATCTACAGAAAACCTACCAAAAGTTTCAAAAAGATCTGGAAAATCTTGATTACTTGGCATACAAACGTCAGCAGGTAAGGTCATGGAAGATTCTAAGAAGACAGAATGCTGGGCATAAATAAGGTGGGTGGTAAAACTGGGTGTTTGATGGAATTACTGTTCTGTCAGTTGGGTTTTGTGCTCTGTGCACTGTCAGGCAAGGCAGCGGGGGGGCATTAAGTCTACTTAATGCATATGATACTGGACTGCTGGGTTTTGGTTTTTCAGCAGAGAGAAGCACAGGCAAAACAAGTAAGTGAGACTTAGCAGACATTAAAAGTTGCATTAATACGTAATTTTCTAAATGGAAGTGTATAGGAGTACTATTTGCAACCTTTTACTTGAAAAATTAACCAAATTCACCAAAGTTAATGAAATCCAATACTTTCTGTGCATGTAAACCACTAATTTTTTTCTTCTTTAGAAATGAATTTGTGAGGTTGGTATGCATCAAACTTTGAAGTGCACATGGTCTTTGACTTGTGTTTGCAAGATCAAAGTTACATTGAATTGTTAACACGTGTTTAGTGTTGGATGTTCTGACACTTATACATAGCTGATGTGAAAATATTGGCTCTCTTTATGGGTATTCATTAATTTTCTTCTCTTGATGATAAAATAAGGCTTTACCTTTTCCACAGCATGAGGGTAAAAGCTGTAACATTCTATGTGGGGATCATTGTGGTTTGTTTTCCTGAATTCTGTCACTTGGTGTCAGTATTGCCAAACAGTTCATGTGCTTGGGGCAGGTCACTTGCAGCTATTTATGTCAGGTAATTGATTAGATTACCTGTGTCTTAGTTAAATTGCACTGTTTATCTGAGCAGTAGTTACCTGGTTGTGGTGAGGAGTGTTTTACCTGCTTTTGATACTGAGATTTTCATTTCAGTAGAGCTTGCTGGAGAAGCTGCAGTGAGGGATTTGAAAAGTGCATGTATGTGTGTATTTAGTGTAGAAGATGCTTTGAATTTTGTCCTGCTTTAAAAAGAAAGTAATCTTTTTGTGAAAAGATTGAGAATTGGTTGGATGTGCAAAAATCACTGACCTGCTTTGGGACTGAAGCTGTTGTGAATTTGGGACATGTTTATGGAGTGTTTAATTGATATTGCATTTAATTGATAACAATTTATATACACTTGTGTTAGGTTAAGGGTATGTTCATAGTCCCTCTGGCAAAATGCTGAGTAACTGCATCTGTTTGGAGGCAAACGTTTGTATATGGTCTGAGTGTGAATCTATTGCTGGTAAAATAAGGAGTTTATATGCTGAAAGCAATCAATGTTGCTTTTGAAAGAAGTACAGTTATCTGCTTCTGTACCTTTTTTTTCAGATATGAGCCATGAAGTGCAATATAGCAATGTACTTCTTCAGTGGGAAAGTTTACAGGACAGATGGGAAATCAAAGCTGGGCTTTTTAAAGGGTGTTCAAAATGTCCCACATTGACTCTGATTAATAAATATACACCAAACTTCTATGAGTGGCAGCACTATACAAGTAGCAAACTTGTTTGGGGTGATGGTTGGCCAGCACCCACTAGAGAAATTCCTTTGGGTTGAGAATATCTGTTTATAGCCAGGCTGCCATTTTGAAATGTGCCAGGAGATGCTTACGTCTGAGAAATGGAGATTTTCTTTCTTGTCCAGGAGATAGATAGACTGGCAATTCCTTTGAATTAAAACAAGCTTTTAATTTCCTTGATACTTTCTCATCTCAGAAATTGGAAAAAAATAACAGCTACATGCTACAAGGAGTACTAAAACTTATTCTCTTGCTCTGTGACTTCATGGAATGTTTCCAGTAAAGGCTAAATAAAGTTTACATTGGTTTGTATCAATCTAAATATTATCACCCTTGCAATATGAATGTTTTCAGGGGAAGTGAGAGGACAAAATATTAAAGCACTTGGGGATAAGATGGGACTTAGTGATAGATCCCAGCTCTGCTCTTGGCTTGCTGTGGTAGGTGCACACTTCCTTTTGTCTTATGTGGGTCTTTGTTGCTGTTGAAAGGAAGTTGTCCATATAGCTTTCAGCTGGAATGGCACTGGTTTAAGACTGTTTATTATAATTACCTTACTGTAAGGTCATTTAAGGAGAGTTGGGCAATAGCTGCAATAAAAATGGACTTACAGTGAAGTTCAGTGGTATTTAGCACCTGTCAAACTGAAAAATTGCCACCGTTGCTGCTGTTCTGAGTGCTAACAGTGCCTTTAGGATGCCTGTAGCAGTGCTGGCTGTGATCCAAAGACATTCAGTTTTTGACTAGAAGCCTCCATCAATGTGTTTTCTTATAGTTGACAACAGGACTTTAGTATGTGTGCACACAAAAGCAGTATCCTGTTGTAAAGTATTCTGATTTAAGGTTTGCTTGTTTGATGTTGATTGTATGCCCTCAGGGAAACTGTTTGTAAAGGACTGAAACGATGGGAAATAATTTTGGTTAATCCATTTAAAAAATAATTTTAGGATTTCTTTCTGATGTTTGTTATGTTTAGAAGTGTTTTAAAAAGTTGTGTTGGAAACTGAAGGAGATAAGAGATGTATCAAAGATATTTATGGGGCACACAGTAATTTACTTCACTCATGGAAATAGTGCTTCCAGAAGATGCAGCAGAGCCATTCCCTGTTCTGTTTCACAGTCCCTTATTATCAGTACTGCAGCTGCCTTCATGATTGTGCAGGTCAAATTTGCATTTTGAAAGTTTTAATTTTGAATGAAGACTTGCTTCTTCAGTCAAATGGTACTTCTTTTTGTTAAAATGGATTACATGCACTTTTATTCTTCAGCTTTGATTGTTCACTTTGGTGGGAGAGAATCAGAAGAGTGAAAGTGAGAAGCTGTGGGTTGATAAAGTCATTTTAACAGATAAAGCAAAAGCCGTGCACACGAGGAAAGCAGAGCAAGGAACTGATTCCCCACTTCCCATGGCTGGGCAGGTGTCCATCCCTCCCCATCACGGGTGGCAGTGACTGGGGAGGACAAACTCCATCACCCTGAATGTCCTCCTTCCTCCTTCTCCTTCCCCCAGCTCTGTGTTCTGAGCATGGCCCCACATGGGCTGGGATCTCCCTTGGATCCCTTGGGCTCAGCTGTCCTGGCTCTGTCCCCCCCCAGCCCCTCCCTGGTGGGGTCGGGTGAGGGCCAGAGGAGGCCTTGGCTCTGTGTGAGCTCTGCTCAGCCATGCCCAAAGCATCCCTGTGCTACCAGCACTGCTTCCAGCACAAATCCAAAGCACAGCTACTGTGGAGAAAACATCAACTCTACCCCAGCAAAAACCAGCACAGTAAGAGATTTGTTCACTGAAGTGCTCCACTCTAGCAGCTGGAGACAAGTTTCTGAAAGAGATTATCACTTATCAACTGGCAGGTTTATTTTGTGGCAAACCCCTTAAAAGTATGCTGGAAATTGGAAGGAGTTCAGGGTGAATTATTTTTTGTCGAGAAAACAAGCATGATGATAGAAAGCTGCATGACTGAGCTCCTTAAGTTATCTGGAAAAGGTTGTGGCTTAGAAATGTCAGGAGCAGAGGTACTTAACTAAATCTTTATTCTAGTACACAGAAATGTGAGAAGAGCCAATGGATGGAAGTCAGACAAGTTCAAACCAGAAAACAAACGAACATTTTTAGCCATTAACTACTGAGAGGACTTAGTTAAGAGATGCAGTACATTAATCACTGCTTGTAGCCTCTCTGTCCATTATCCATGCCTTTTGAAAAGATGTGAAATAACTGAGATTCAAATTGAAGGGCAGGAATTATGGATCTTTCTGTGGCTTGTGCTATTGGGTGAATTTGAATGAGAATTCACTTTTTTTCCCCTCCAGACTTAAGAATGACAGTACATTTGGTTGTTTGTTAGAGGGTAAAGGCACAATTATGTCTTCTGGATTGCCATCCTGGATTAACAAATGGGTGAATGTGTTCACTTTTGTATTTACCACTCTACCACTGCCTAATCTTTTAGATTTTAGGGTTGGATATGTTGAGATCTTGTTTAGGAATTTTCAAAGAAGCCTTGTACTTTACTCCACAGTAATTTTAAGGACATACAAGCATTTGATTCCCATTAGATTTCTGAAAATGCCTTCTTATGTTTTCTCCTTTAATATGTAGTCACACAGTATTGATTATAAAAATGAGACTATAGGTTATGTTTCCAGTATTGTAGCTGCTTATCTCTCCTTGACACAGGAACAACATCTATCATGTTGTTGTGTAATTAAAATAGTTGATTTATGCATTCATTTTTTAAAAAAGCAAACAACAAATTAGTCTCGGTAGCTAAGATAGTGAAAAATTATGACAATTCTGTTCTCAGTCACCTGACTTGTTTGAGTAATTCCATGATTATAGCTCTGTCATTTGGTCCTTGCTTCTGTCTGTCCTGTGTATCCCTGTGGCTTGCTTAATGGGTGAAGAGGTTTTCCTTTTCCCTGCTCACCTGAAATTGCTCATATTCCCTGTGTTTATAATTTTTTATATGTATTCAGAGTTGTAGGAGGAAGACTTTCATATTGACATTTCCCCAGGCTGTGCCATAGTTTTAGCAGCTCCCTTGTTCAGCTGGATTTGTGTCTGTCAGTTCCAGCTTGAATGATTTTAATTTGTATCTCCATGTGTGCAATTTTTCTCTCTTTGCATGGATGCTAAACCTCTGAGGAAAAGACTCATGCCTCCCCTCATCTTTCCAAAGCTCAGGCTGTTGCTGTTTCTGTGAAAATGAATTAGTTTTAGCTGTGCCCAAGATGTCTTCAGTTTGGATAAAAGATTCCAGTCTAGTCTTGTCTCTGATAAATGTAGATGAAATGTCTTGGGAGCCAAGGATGGATGATGCTTTATATTCAACCAAAAAGTCACCAAGTAATTTAAAAAACACAGAAACAATACAAAATTGAGTGTTACAGTGGGAAGGAAATGAAATCTTCAGCTAGAAATTAAATTACAGAGACAACTAAGTAATGTTAAAAGGGCATGGCTTAAAAAGCTAGAGAATTTTGAGTGCATTCCATGGGGGATACACCACTGATTTTGCT